TCAACCTCCCAAGCACTGGGATTACAGGTTTGTACCACCACACCCAGTCTCAATCACCATCTCTGCATACCCCAGGGGTGGGGACAGCACAGCATACTGGGGATCGAACCCTGGCCACTGTGTTCTGCCTAAGCAGGTGCTGACAATAACTTTTTGACTGAATGCTTGCTTTAATATTGGGAGAGAAACAAGAAGAAGGAAATGCAAATTATTAAGAAATAATTAGTAATTGTGAACTGAATGTGTTTAAGTCAAATGAAAAAATTGAACTTAAAATAGAAAATAATCCCTAGGGTTCGCTTTAGCTCCTATGTAGTAATGAGTGGAAGGGTATATTCTAAAAGATTTAGGGCAGTTGAGAGAAAAATTTCATGCCAACTTGGCTTTCAATTTCTTTCAACTGAAAGAGATTGAAAAGTTAACATTTGACACCCGGGTTCTACCCTGGTTTACCAAAAGCACCCTTCATGGCCTCCGAATGCTGCACCAGGACAAAGGTCTTGTATGTTCTTATAAATAAAATAATTTGCATATGCCTTGTTGCTGAACATGACATGTGATTTTGGACGAATGACTCATTATTAATGTTTAGCTCAAGTAAAACTCAGATTCCATGTAAGAGATAAACTCAGATCATCAGTACTCTCAGGCCCCATTATCTCCCAAGCATTCCCCAAATTGCTGTGGTCAGTTACTCCCCTCACAGACTGATGTATGTGTGATCTGTTTTGGTGGCATCCTCACCAGTGGTGATTCAACCTCTAGTTTTCTTCAGTGGTAGGAAACCCACCAGACATTCAGATACTTCTAACTTCTGAAAATTTTTTCATTAATTGAATATAAATTCGCTTCTCTCTGCTTATATAATGTTATCTAGTTATAGTTTTTGAAGCTTTCTAGAAAAACTATTCCTTTAGAACATCTTCTTGTTATTTAAAATACATTGTTGTATTTATTTAGAATTCTTAAAAACCTGAAATACTTTGGCCAGATTCTTATCCCAGTTTCCTTTGGCCATGCCTCATGGAAGATGGTTGTTAGTCTATTTATAAATCTCATGAACTGGAACCATGTCCTCTAGGTGGACTACAGTTTATTTCATATGACATGCTATGGTTTGTTTTTGGACATCTCTCCAAAGTCTTATGCAGTCATAAGTGGGGCATTTTCAGAAGTGACTGGGCCTAGAGTGTGGCAGGCTGGAATTGATTCGTGGTGCAGTGCTAGGATCAATGGTCCTAAGATTAAGAATGTGTTACCCACCTTAAGTAGCATGGATAAATTATAGAGACAGAAAGAGCTGTGGTTGTCCCTTGTTGCTTTGCTACCTTCTGGATGCCATAAATTGCTCCTCCTCTATGATGATTGTATACCTTGACAATCCTCCTTGGAGTCAGTCAATAATGGACTGAAACCTCTTAATAAAGTGTTAGTCAGAAAGCCCCTTTCCCCTTTAACTTTGTGTGTTGGGTAATCTGTCTAAGTAACAAGATAAAAGTAAGAAAGAATTTGATGCCAAGAGTGGGGATCTTGCTGTGGTGTTATTTGTACATGGACACTAGAGTTTCAGCCCAGTGCTAGATAAACTCCTGTTTTTTAATTAAAACTATTTTCATTCCAGTTTTGACTAGGGCTAATAAACAATAAATGCTGCATACAAAAATGAAATAAGAGACTGTCTTGGTTACTTTTCTCTTGTTGCTGGGACAAAGTACCCAGTGCCCAATATTAAAGAAGGAAAGGTTTATTTAGCTCACAGTTAGTGGAGGTTTCAGTCCATATGTAGCTGGCTCCAAGGCAGAGTGGCACATGGCAGAGAGCAGCCACTCATGGTGGCAGAAAACAGCAAAGAGTAAAGGGAAGTGCAGGAGCTGTGGCTGCTAGCTAGCCTTTTCCCCCTTCATACATTGTAATGCAGATTATCTGTTTCAGGTTGGGAATAGTACTCACATCCCTAATTCCAGCATTGGATCATGACTTAACCACAAACTCTAGAAGCTACTCCATGACTGCATGAGACTTTGGGGGGGACAAATAGACACAAACCATAAAAATAATAGAGACCTATAGTCAGGAGTTGCAAAAACCGGAAGAGGCTGTCAGAAAATCAGGTCAGCAGCATTTTGTGAATGGGCAGTCCCAGAAAATAGAAATTAAATATTGGGACAGAACTTTTAGAAAGGTCTATTTGTATGTATTCAATGCAACTTCTCTTTCACCATGAAGAAAATTGTGAGATTGTTACCTATAATAAAAGCCTAGGCAAAAAGATTTCAATTCATGTAATGTACAAGCCTGGCTTTGGTTCATTGGATTTGAAAACATGTAGTAGGTTACTGTACATCTTTGGCTCAAGGAAGATAATGGGCTAAGCCTGTGGTGGGCACACTGCTCTGAGACCAACGTGGTGGGAGAGTCACCGCAAAGTGATTGAGCTACACACACGTATCTAAATCCTAGATCACTGGAATGACACAATATGTGACTTGAAATGATTAGGAGATTTTATATGACCTGAAAATAATATAAATATCATAAAGTATGTCATAGATTTTATGGGAAAAGAATTAGCCAAAGCCCAATACAGTAGATTTAAAAGATTCATAGAGATAAAAACTGAAGTTGTTTTATAACTGTACTTTTTATTTCCTAGGTCTTTACTTTTCTTGTCACTTCAACATATAGATATACATATACAATACATACATATTCAGACACATGTGTTAAAGAACAAGTTTACAATATACAAATCACAATATTTATAGCTTGATTGTTCATTATATTCTATGCAGTGTATTAAAGCCCTTAAAATATTATTTTCCATATCTGTTTGGAGACAAAGTTCATAAATTTCATTTCATTGACAAGGAAGCAGACCTAGTAATATTATACTTTATTTTAAATCTGACATGTAATAATTGGTTTAGCCTGAACTCAGATCTCTCTGACTCTGAGATCCAAATCTTGAATGGATGATTTATTTTGCCATTTGTTACAGCTTGCATGGACTTTGACAACCGCAACTGATTTTATTGTGTAGATTTTTCCAGTGATCAATGGGCATTTCAAAAGGAAGAAATACATTATAAGATGTGTTATGCATTGGTTTACTCTTTCTAAGGACCTGCACTACCATGAGGAACACAGAAGGAATGTTTTGTGAGACCAGGAAAAACACCAGAGCTCACACATAGAAAATAACGTAGTGTTGTTTTGCCCAACTAAAAATGTAGGGCTGCTTCCACCTGCAGACTAAAGGGACAATTGCAGCTTTCCCAGTCCTGCGGTTGCTTTTTTCCTCATGGTCCAGGTTGGCAAGGCTCAGGGTGGTGTTCACCTGATCACCAGGTGGCTCTAAAACCTCTGGTAGGAGTCATGCAAATGCTGCCTGAGGGAAAATACAGTGCTTAGTAGACTGATTAAAATATTTGCCTTTGAGATCTTGTAAAAATACACATCCCCGGGGTTGCAAAGGTTATCAGAGGCATTCTTCCAGTCTAATGTGTATTCTGGAGGAGTCTGGATTTTTTTTTAAATAGAATAGAATATGACTGTATAGTCTGAAAAATGCAGGGATTCTGAGGACTAAATTAAATATATATATATATATCTGTTGAGACTCTAATGTGTGGCAGGTAGATTTTTAAGCATATGTGATCAATGTAGGAATAAAACAAAGATGTAGGTCTTCATACAGCAGAGATGATGCATTTCAAAATATTTTGTAAACCTTATTGCACCATGCACTTAATGACTATTATATTTTGTATTTACAATAAGCTGGGAAAGTGCGTGTTCCATCTAACGTGCCTATACACCGTTACTGGGAGTGGCACTACCATGCAAAGCTGTTGTCAGAGTTACCTCAGTGGAGCTTTTAGATTCCTCTCAGTGCCTCGGCACTGTCCACCACTGACAAGTAAACTTCTCCCAGATGAAAACCAGATCTTCTATCTTTTACTTTCTCTGTGTCCCTGGAATCTAGGACAGTGCTGTAGTCAGAGCATGTTTCCAATCAGTGTCCTAGAAAAATGAACTGTACTTTAATTGAGCTAAGAAGGCTAGAAAATCAAGTGCAGAACAAGGCAGAGTGAGAGAGCAATTTGCACAGACTCGGGATTTACTCTCCACCCCACAGCCCACTGTTCATTTATTTCTGCCTTAAAATTGTCCTCAAATCCCAGCCACGCAATCTTTACTCCTACATCAGCAAGCATGACTCTCCCTCCTGAATTTTTCTGGAATGTTATGGCCTCAACTGCAGATATTAACACTTGAGCATGACCTATTCTTTTTCTCTGAACATAATAAATTTAAATTCAGGAATTGTTCTATAGCCATTTAAATTCAGAAGTAGTTTTGCATTAACACAATGCCAGGTAAATACCAAGAGCAAAACACGTGAGAGTCTAAGCGTTTTTTTATATCAGAATCTCAGATTTCTTGAAATACATGTATACATGCCCAAGTTTGCATATGGGAATGGTGAATGTTTCTCCCATACTTATTCTCATTCATTAAGTTCTGATATTTGGATTACTTACATTACTTATCTTTCCATTGCTAGAATAAAATACCTCCTGACGCAGCTTACAAGAAGAGATATTTATTTTGGTTCATGTCTCCAGAGTTTTTGCCCTATATTTGTCTGGTTCTAGAGCAGAAACATCATGAAAGAAGGACATGGTGGAAGGAAGTTACTCAACTCCTAGCATCTGGAAAATATGAAGCAAAGGGCTCCAGACAGAGAGGAAGAGGCTGGAGAAAATAATATCCTCAGTAAACTACTTCTGCCCCCTGGCCCAGCCCATAATAAACTGATTCAGTTATGATCTTATCAATGAATTATCTGTTGAAGAAGACAATGCCTTCATGATCCAATTAATTTTCTAGGTTCCATCTCTCAGCATCACATCATTGGTGATGAAGCTTTTCATGTAGAAGTCTTTGAGAAGAATTTCACATTTATTAACAATACTAGTTAGGGAAAAGTCACTACCCAAGATGCAATATTAATATCCCCTTCCCTACAACTTTATTTATAGTATTATGCTGGAATTTTTGCCTTTTTCAAAAAAATTCTCTCTTAAAGTTTGGCTATCTGTCTCAGGAAAAGAAGTTCATATCAAGAATATAGTAGACCCTTGACCTACAAACTGGATTTTGGTTATAAATCTGGTTGTTATTTGAAGGTTCAGGTTCCTCTACACCACTGTCAAAGTTTCTCTCTTGTACACCTGCAGATCTCAGTGTTTCTAGAGAGACATTGGCCTGAAATTTCTCCATTCACCCCATACAGGAAAGGGTGTTGTAATGCTCCTTCCAGAACTCATTCAAAATTAAATCTGTATCCAAGGCCATCTGGAAGTACAAGCAGGTGGCATTTGGGTCATAACTCCAGACTCTGATTATAAGTTGAAACTATAATTCCATTCCTAACCCAAGTTGTTTGTATGTCAGGTCAGGCATAACTCAAGGGTCCACTGTATCTAGAATATAATTTCCTGGCCTTCACTTATGGATGTGGAGTTCCCTGGGCTGTATTCATAAGCAGTGGCCTTGGCAATTGCCATGAGTTCAAGCTTGAGAACCAGCGCCATAGGGTGCAACCATGAAAAAGTACATTGCAAGAGGCAGCCAGACAGTGACCTAGCAGATAACATGGGCCTTTCCTGTCCTGTGTAGGCCTGTGTTTTGGAATTGGTCTGCTTCTTCTTTAGCATTGTAGATGGCAGGGCAAAACGAAAGAGTTACTATTGACTCATCAGGGCAGCAACACATTATTGTTAGCTCTAGCTGCCTGACTAGGTGTCTCAATTATGTTTTACTCCTTGCTGGGACAAAATAACCAATACCCAAAATTAAAGAAGAAAAGGTTTATTTAGTTCAGTGTTTGTGGAGGTTTCATTCTATACTCAGCTGGCTACCAAGAAGAATGGCACATGGCAGGCCGCAGAAGTTCATGGCAGCAGAAAATAGTGACGAGCAAAGGGAAGGGCAGCAGCTGTGGCTTCTAGCCAGCCTCCCCCCTTCTTATGTTATAAACGAGCTACCCTGGGGCTGGGGGAGTAGAACTCACAGAATGTCCATGCCATTCTCTTGCACTGGATGAGGATGTTTACAAACTAAGAATCCTGGCTGTCTGGCAAGTCACTTAATTAAACTTCTAAACTTTTCAAGTTGACATAATCTATCAACCCGTACAATCCACCCATGTCAACTTGGCAGCCAGACATTTCCTTAAACCAATTTCCAGGTACATAGATATGCTTGTTAACATTTTACATCTTCGAACATTATAACACAGGTTTAACTGTCTTTAAGAATCACTATTAAGTCTGTCAATGTTATATTACATGAGAACCATAGTATCCTGCCTCTGGCACCCCAAATACTCACGCACATCCCTTTATGCAAAAGGCACTTAGTCTATCTGCAAGAGTTGTCAAAGTCATAACAGTTTCAACACTAATGAAAAGTTCATGTTCCAAGATCTAAGGCAAACTCTTTTCTGTGAGCCCCTGTACAAATGTGCTAGTTGATAGATTATGTCAACTTGAAAAGTTTAGAAGTTTAATTAAGTGACTTACCAGACAGCCAGGATTCTTAGTTTGTAAACATCTTCATCCTGTGCAAGAGGAGGGCATGGACATCTTGTGAGTTCTACACCCCTATCCCCTGGGTAGCTTGTTTATAAGTTAAAAAGTTAAACACTTACAACATTCAAAGACACAAGATAAACATTACCATTCCAGAAGGTACAAGCAGCAGGTTATAAAGCACTGGGGTCAAAAGAAGTCCAAAATCCAGAAGGGCAAATATTAAGTCCTGTCATTCCATGTGGAACAGCTGATGCAATCTGTTATCAGTTGTAATCTCCAGCAGACTTACATGACTCCACCCCTATGGCACTTCTGTGGGTAGCTCCCATGGCTTCTCTCTCAGGCCTGCTGTGCTCCCTTTTGGCAGCTTTCCATAGACAATCCATGTTCCTTTGAACTGAATAGGCTTCTCACTCATAGCTTTACACACTGCACTCTCAGGGGCACATTACCTGGCCTCCCAGGCCTGCTGAAATCTAGGTGGAATCCTTCTTAACCTCAGAAGTCCTGCACTCTGAATGCAACTAAAACCACTGCCATGTGGATGATACCAAGGGCTGCTGCCAGCTGGAGTAGTAGTCAGGCTTTCTTCTCTGTTGGCTGTAGGGTTACAATGCCTGGATTGCTGAGCACTCTGGCCATGATTCCAAGAAACAAATTCTCTATGCCAGTGCCATTCTGGAAACTGGTGTGGCTGCTGCCTACATTCTGTGTCATGGGGCTCTGTGGCTTTCCCATCAAAGCAAAGTCCCTCACCCTTGCAATTCTGAGGGTGCAAAGGGCAAGAACCTTGCACCTCTTGTGATGCCCACACATTTCTATTCTCCTGTTCCTCTTGGGCAATAGAGAGCTCAGCTCTATCTTTGCAGTCCACAGCCTTTCTGGCACTTCCTTTCTGACCAAATTTACAATATTTTAAATGATTCTGCTGGTCTCTTTGCTCTTCACTCTCAACATATATCTGACCAAAACCCCCCAACAATAGCCATGCCACTGCCTCAACATTTGACTGCCTTGAGATTTCTTTTGCAAGATTAACTAGTCCACTGTGTTTAATCTCAATCTCAGGCAATCTCTGGACACAAACAAAATGCAGACAAACTTTCTGCCAAGGCTTAGCATAAATAATCTTCAATCTAACAACCAATGAAGTTTTTCCCAGCAGAAACCTCCCCAGTCCGGACTTTACAGGCAGGCTTTCTACAACCATTCTGGTTTTCTGAGCTCTGACAGAATCTCTCATACAGAATAGCTGAATAGATGACATCTCCAAACATTACTTATCTCTTACCATAAGCCATTCCCAAAAGCTCATAATCCATATTGTCAAGTGTAGTCATAACAACGACCCCACTCCTCTGGTACCAAATTCTGTCTCAGTTACTTTTTACTCATTCCTGAGACGAAATACCCAAAACCCAAAATTAAGGAAGGAAAAGTTTATTTAGCTCACAATTTGTGGAGGTTTTAGTCTATACTCCATGCTCAGCTGGCTCCCAGGCAGAACAGCACATGGCCGGGAACAGCAGTTCATGGCAGCAGAAAACAGCGAAGAGCAAAGAGAAGGGTGGCAACTGTGGCTTCCAGTTAGCCTCTCTTCCCTCCTTATAAACAAGCTGCGCTGAGGCTGGGGTGTGGAACTCACACAATGTCCATGCCTCCTCTTGCACAGGATGAGGATGTTTACAAACTAAGAATCCTGGCTGTCTGGTAAGTCACTTAATTAAACTTCTAAACTTCTTAGGTTGACACAATGGATCAGCCAGTACACTAAGTAATTGAATACTGGAATTTATAACTATAATCTGCAATTTTATGTACTATGCTTAAACTCTTCCCTGGCCTCCTTTACATTTTCCAGCCCTAGATAAACACCATTTTACTTTATGATTCTTTGAGATCAAATTTTCTTAGATTCTACTAAAACATGTGGAGCTGGATCATATATTTGCCTTTTTGTGCCTGATGTATTTCCTGTTATGTAATTTCCTTTGGTTTCTTTCACATTGTGCAAATGATAGGATTTCACCATATTTGTGGCTGAATCATGTTCCATTATATGCAGGTATCATGTGTGCTTTATCCATTCAACAGTGGATGGACACTGGGCTTTTGCCCATGTCTTGCCTGTCATGAATGGTGCTGCAGTAGACAAGGGTGCTTAGATATCTGTTGTACATTCCAATTTTATTTCCATTAGATATATACTCAATAGTGAGAGTGTTAAGATGACTAGTTTTATTTTTAGTTCTCCATAAGAAGAGTAATAATTTGTAAGTGAACCTTTGAATCCCAAAAACTCTGGCTGTAATTTCTCTGTCTGATGCTGCTAGGCTCAGAACTTTTGGACTGTGGTTTCTGTAAAATGGGGTATTAATGCCTTCATATGATGCTTATGAATATGAAATGATATCATGTCTATAAACTGTTTGGTGAAGTTTTACAAATATACTTTATAATAAGGAAACAATAACCCACTGAAAATAGGTGCGTGTACACACACACACACACACACACACACAGAGCATTTACTTACATATTAAGCAAGGAAACATTGTACAACAACTTAAGATTTTGTATTTGTTGTAAAATGATTGTATTGTTGAAAAATTGGGTTTTGTTTTATATTGTTTTGTCTGTTATGTGTAGTGTGTGTGTGTGTGTGTGTGCTTTTTAATGTTACATTTTAATTACAAATAAATTGAATTATTTCTGTTACTGGAGCATGGAACCCAGCGGGATTCTACAGCTTAGTTAAATCTCCCCAGCTATTTTTATTTTTCATTTTAAGAAGGGTCTCACTAAGTGACTTAGGCTGGCTTTGAATTTGCCATATTTCGCCACAGCTTCTCATGTTGCTGGGATTCCAGGTATGTATCAATCAGCAAGCAAAAGTAAAATTAATTTCTAAGCATATATGCATTTGTTCCCAGCCTCCGATGCTGCAAGGTTAGGGCTCTTGGCTCTCTGCACTGCTTGGTGCTTGAAGTCCTGGGTGGGGCAGCTCTGTCCAGCACTTTGGAATGCAAACTCCCTTGAGCCAGTACTTACTTAGCATAATTTCACCTGTGGTCTGTCCGTGGAAGGTAGTCAGTGAATATTAAAATAGTCTTAACAATAAAATAGCATGCAGTCGACCGTGAAACCATCTTCTGAGGGGGAGGAGAGCAGCTCCTTTCCCCCAAGGAGCAGGAAAGTTCATTCACAGTCTGCCACTGAGGCCCCCTTTCCTACGCCGGCCTGGCTCTGCCATCTGCCTCTGCTGACCATCTTTTTGCTCAGAGCCCCCCAGTCTGTGCAAGAAAGGTTAGGAGGCTCCTTGTCTCCCTGACCCACAAGGTGCTCAGGTCCTTTCACTGACCTGGCTTCTGATTGGATGTTGGTTGTTTTGGATGATGACGTGCAAGATGCTTTCTCTGTTGGTCAGAGCTTGTTTGTACTATTTTTACTACTGTTTATGTTGTATGCAGTGGAGTGTAAGGAAAAGGAAAAGACCCGCACTTTCTCGCCCCCAGGTAGCAGAAACAGAGGCCTGGTAGCATTCCAGACACCTGTGTGGCTCGGCCCGTGGGCTGCCTCTGGGTCCCTTGGGAGCTGGCTGCTCACCGCCATGAGGGACCTTCTTCCATATGCTGCCTGCTTCTTTGCCTTCTTCTCCACTGGGTTTTTGATGCTGGCCACCTGGACAGACTGCTGGATGGTGAATGCTGATGATTCTCTGGAGGTAAGAAGACAATAACTTCTTTTCTGACCCAGTCTTAATTTTCTCCAAGCCCCACTGCTGTACAGCATCCTGAGTAAGCATGCTTCTCATGAATGATTGCAAGGCACCCCACTTGGGCCAGTTTACTGCCTCCTGGATCTCTAAATCCTCAGCTCATATAATCCTTGTGCTAATCACCAACTAACTAACTCTACTCTCTCATTTTACAGATGAAGTCACTGAATATTCCTTCTATTTTCATACAGGTTATTATATAATTATCCATTAGTTCAACTTTTCCTTTGTTATGTATACTGACCAACACTCAAGTAGCAAATTTGCAAAGGTAAACTTTTAATTTTACTGTGATAGATTTTCCAAAAGGAGTACCCACAATCCAAGACATTAATTGATCTCAAGGCATATAAAACCTACGTGTTCCACAGAACTTTATACCAGTGTGAAGGGGAGAGACACAGATTTAAGAAATTTTATATCAAAAATGAGGCAGACTTGGGAACTTTCATGCAAAGAATAAAGAAGTTCACATTGGAGAATTTTATTGTTCTCGTAAAGGAGGATAAAAAAGTACATTTGAAACATGAAAGTATTTCCTGTGGCCATAGGAATCTGAGAAAGTTTAAATTGAGCCCAAAAGATGAATTTTCATAATGAGTTGCAATTTATTACTAAGGTTTAACATATTTTAAATAAGGGAAAATACAGCACTAGAAATACAGATAGCAACACCATTTTTACTTATATCTGAAAGTGAAGAGTTTATTTTAACAAATTCTGTAATAATATCATCTCCATGAAGATTGGAAAGTATAGTAGAAAACTAATTTACACAGTTTTCTGCTAATTTACTTACTAGACTCTCAAGTTGGACTTAACACTGGAAAACAATAGTCTATTATGCTCTTCATTATTTTTACTGTCTATTTTCCCGCTTTTCAATTCTCTTCTGACTTTTATAAGACATTCCAAAACCAATAGAGTTAAAAATACCTCCTTGGTGCTATAAAATCATATCTGTAAAAGCTGTGATGGGATTGAACTATTGTAAAATATGTCTACTTTAAACTGAGTCTAGTGATGAATTTTATCTGCTTATGCATATGGGCAGCGAGTGAAGAGAAAAATGCCTTTCAAACAGTCCTCAGGGAAAAGTGCAGAAAACATATTCTTTTCCCATTTGGTTGGAGTTTTCCATTGTCCAATAGTATATGAACAGTATGTGGCACTTAAGCATACTTAAAACTGTTTTACTTTTTGTCTTATTTTGTTGTTTTGAGACAGAGTATTTCTATTTAGCGCAGGCTGGCCTTGAACTCACGGCAGTCTTCCTGCCTCAGCCTTCCAAGTGCCGAGATTACAGACATGTACCACAGTGTCCTACCTTAACTCTAGATTTAAACCTTTTTGTAATATTTAAAATGCAATCAAAAGTTGTCGATAAACTCATTTGCTGCAATGATTTGAAAATCTTTCGGATTCAGATGATGGAGTTGCTAACTTCACTTGATCAAATCTAGAGCACAAAGAAGAGTCAACACACGTTGAGCATGGGCGTGAGACAGATCAGGAGACCTGGCTTTACAGTGCTTTATCTTTTCATTGTCCTAGATCAAACAGTTGGCCATCTGCCTTGTACAAGAGCACATCTAGTTAAACGAATGGGACTAAGAAGTCCAGGTTATCCACCTGGAGTTAATTCTTATTCACCTTGGACATGAGTGTAGGGAGTTTATCGTAGCTCTTAGCTCTTCCTTGCTTCCTGTAATTTAAATGTGTTCCCTAGCCAAGTCTCAGCATGGTGAAGGACACAGACAGTGAACTATTAGAGACTAGTGCAGCCAAAGTGGTGGTAAGGAATAGCTTTGAGTGGGAATCTCACTTGGGCCTGATCATCAGTAAACTGTACCCAGAAGGAGGGCTACCTCAATTAAGACTTGAAACCAGAAAAGGATGCCAGGTAAAGTATTGTCAGAACAAAAGAAAAGGTATTCGCAGAGATATGTGTGTGAAAACACTGTACATTTCCGGCATTATATATATTCACCATGGTAAGGGTTTTTATGGAGAAAAAAGATCTGTGTACTTCAGGGTGTTGTGTATCACATAAGATACAGATCTTATTTCGCAGGTAAGAATGTTTTATGGAAAGCAAACATGCATTTTAAAAATATAAATCATTCTGGCTGTTGATGAGACACATTTAGAAAAGGTACAATGGTGTACAAGGAGGCCATGTGCTGGAAAAAAAACAGAGATTTTTGAAACCTAGGGGCAAAAAGCATGAAAAGATATGTAAGACTGTGAAGAACTCTCATTGATGAGCTTGATAAATAACTGCTTGAGAGAAGGACAATGAAAAAAATCCTGGTTAAAATCCACCTTTCTTCTGTGGGCGTTTAGAGGGATTGTGGAATCTCTCAAGTGGAGTAGAAATGGGGGAATGATGGTGTCCGCACTGACACCACTATGCAACAGCATCTCCAGGCCGCCTGCCTGTGTGTCTTTCCATTGTCCTCCCTTTGCTTTGTGTACAACACCTGGAGACAGGACACAGATCTTTACCATGGGAAAGTACATGGGTTCGATTTGATGTCAGAGTGAGGCGCAGTTAGGTTGGGCTTTGGCAGGCACTCGCTGTGTGGTTGAGGCAGACGTTTCAATTGCTGCCTGCCACATTTCCTCTTCCACAGAGGTAAAATGATAATACATACATCATAGGTTTCTCCTGAAAATTAAATGCACTTGTATATCAAAAGCCTTTACCATAGCACCAGATAAATACAGATGGGCCCATAAATGTCAGATTTATGATGATTGACTTGCGGCTCACTGTTTGGTTTTTCTTCTGGAGGAGGAGGTGATGTTTTATTTAGTGTTCACAGAACAAAGAGACGCCAGATTTAAGTTCTGTTCCTATTTTCATTATTGCTTTTTACTTAGCTATCAAATGCTCATATGCAACAAAAGAAATAAATAATTAATAGCATCTTTAATGTGTGAAGTATATTATTATAAGGTATGTAATTATTAATTACCAACCCTGGAATAGAAAAACCATTTTCTCTCAGAAAGTGACTGGTCCTTCCATTATTGGAAGGGAGAAGTATTTGACAATAGTGATTCCATTTGTAGTTAATTTTCTTCTTAATTATATCCAGTGAGACTGCTACACACCCAGCACTGTTCTAATTAAAATTGTATAACTTCCAAAGAAAGTGACTCACAATGGAATTTATTTTATCCCCCTAATCAGTTTCTTGTCTGGAACTTCTATTTGCCTTAATGATGTTATAATTCTTTCAGACACAAAGTACATATTAAAAATGTTACACCTGCTATGTTCTCTGATTATTCGCTTACCAGTTTTGCCTTCCCACCGACGTTTAAGAGTGCACGTGTTCTTGCACTCAGCTCCTGATTTTCCGCGGCACCAGCACTGCTGTTCCTACTGCAGGTGTTCGTGGTGCGTTGTGCTTGTGAATTGATGTGCTACCACCTGCATATTGGCCATATTGTTGCAAGAACGAATAAACACATGAAATATGGTATAAGATGATCTTCAAAAGTTTCCTCCTTAATGAAAATATCTCCGCAGAGAAGCAACTACTTCTTAGTTTTAAAGCAGGACCTTAAGTCTCAACACAGTTCAACAGTTTTTGATATATATATATATACGTGAATGGTCTTATTACCAACGTGAGAGGAAAGGTCTCATCTCAAGATGAGGTTAATAAAAAGTGTAAGTACAGTGAGAGAAGAAGGCTTTTCTGATTGGTGCTATAAAAAAAGAAATTTTAGAAAGGAAAAAAAAATTAATTTTATAATCAGTCACACAACGTAATTGAGATCTCTGCCACTGGGCAATAACCACCGCAAGTTGTGATAACATGTTATTAGAGGAAGAATTCTTTTCTTTTCTTTTTTGTCCAGTGATACCAGGGATTGAACTCAGGACCTCATGCTTGCCAGGCAAGCTCTTATTCTACTGAACTATCTTAGAGGAAGAATTCTAATGTAGATGACTCAAATAAATTAGAAAAAAAGCTGAAATTGAAATAATTAGATAACTTGGACATATAAATGAGCTCATGCAAGTACAAAGGTCACAAAAATGATATTTTACTAAGTTGAATCATCCTCTCCCCTAACAGTTATACATCCAGCCAGTGGTTCCTGAGTAGTCAAGCAGAACTGAGACACGTAAATTGTAGTAAATAAACTCATGACTGTCTTTCATGCCTTATAAATATGAGGTATTTAATGTAAATAATGTAAGGTAATTTCTATGGTGATCATTTTAGTCTTGGTTTTACTAAGTCCTGCTTCAAGTTATTTTACAGCATGGACTGATAAAACCATAAAATCAAATACACCAGCAAACATTTCAGAATCCCAATTATAAAAATGCAAATACATTTTATGTCTGAATTAAAATATTTCTGTTTTTTGTGATAAAACATTACTATTTACAAATACGTTACTAAAATACTTGCATCTTAAATAATTATATCTGAATAAGTACTGAGTACATATAAACTGCAGTTTCAATGTTAAAATACATTAGGACAGGTTGGCAAAGTCCTGTGAAGATTATGAGCATTAATATGTATAAGCAAGGTACTCCTTAAAAAAATGTATCTTAAAGGTTTTAGTACCATTATTTCATATCTATGCATTATTCATACTTACATGTTTATAACCTAATTCATATGTATGAACAAGTTCTTGCTTGATATTTGTAAACTAGCAATAAATATTTACTAAGTCTTTTGTGTATACTTTATATTTTATAATATGTAATATATTATATAATACATTTACATAGTTTTATATAACACATAACTTTGTACATTTAATATAGTGTTTAATGTATTTATATATGTATATATCATATGTAGAACTATATGCATAGTTGTATATATATATTTACACACATATATGTATGTACATATACACATTGCATATATTTACATTTATTACATCAATGTATGTATACCTTT